TAAACGTGTGAGTGCTGTAAGGTTACCGTTAAGCTGAGAGGGTAAAAGCGGCCCTGGTGGCGTAACGGATAGCGCACTCGCCCGGAAAGCGTGAGGTGCGGGTTCGACTCCCGCCTGGGGCACGACTTTTGCCCACAACTCAGCATTCTTGTGATAACATTCGGAACGCGTACTGCGGCGTTAAACAGCAGTTATCATAACAAAACAGCTTCACAAATATTTTAGGCTATAAAATCCCGATAGAACAAAATTTGGTCATGCACTGAACAAGCGCATCACTAAAAAATAAGTTAATCTTCATCTCTCTAGTGTTTCCCGCGCCATTTCAGGGTCCGCTGTTCTTCTTAGACTTAATACTGATGTTTTCGCCACTTCTAATATTTTTTTATATTTCGCGGAGTTCTCCACTAGCCGGATAACTTTGTCGAGCTGAGCCTAGCGCTGGTATCGTCACTTCTGCTTTTTGCACGGCATGTTTCGGCAAAGATCAAACTCGTGGCTCAATGTGCAGAAATGAAACTATACTCATAACTAAATAAGCACCTGGCTATCCCCACCAGAAATAAGATAGTGAAAAATAAAAAGAGACCTAGTATGACAGAAGCGATGAAAAAAATGAATTCTCGCAGCCGGAGCGATAGAAAAAAACTATCGAGCTTTACGGTTCTGACTCAGGCGCCCAAAACAAACCATAAGCGCCTGATTGTCTCGACATGCGCTCTTTTTGATGGGGCAAGGAAGGTTCCCAACACTTAATCCAGTCGTCACCCCTTAAGTTCTCCTCATTCTAATCTTCGTCATATCATCACATTTAAATGGTATTTGTGATAATTGATTTATTTCGGTCATTTGGGTTCGATTTTTGCTAGTAGTTGTTAGCTATAATTCGAATACCCAAGAAAACCAGACAAAAATACAACGCGTGGCAGGGAAGTATCCTACTATATATAAACGGTGCGTGTGCGTGTCCGTGTGTGCGTCTGTCTGTTTGTCACGAAATTCATAGCACCCGAAGAACTTGGAGGGGTCGAGTCATGGTGGGGATGGATAGGGCATGGGACAAAATGTAAATAGCACCCGTGACCCATGGTAAGCCCGCCCACAGTGGGCGGGGCGTGCGTCGAAAGTTAGCGATGTCACTGAAAAAAGTCATAACTCGGTTCCAGAGCAGTCCCCAGATGAGGGAACAGTGCAGTAAAGTTAACAAAGGGCTGACCGACCAAATGGAGGAGACACACCCGAGATGGGCGGGGCGTACTTGAGATGGGCGGCTTCCCGTGTCACTGAAAAAAGCTATAACTTGGCTACAAAGCAGCCCGGAGACGGGAAAAAGTGGGATAAGGTTAGCATGGGTTGGCAGAGCAAATGGAGGAGACACACCCGAAATGGGCGGGCGTACCTTGAGATGGGCGGCGCTTCCCGTGTCACTGAAAAATAATTTGGCTACAAAGCACCTCGGAGACGGGAAAAAGTGGAATAAGGTTAGCATGGGTTGGCAGAGTAAATGGAGGAGACACACCCGAAATGGGCGGGGTGTACTTGAGACGGGCGGTGCTTCCCAGAAAGGTCGGTAACTCGGTCCCCGAAATAAATCAGAGATCACAAAAAACGAGGACGGCATGACGAGGACGAACATCGGGCAAGAGTCCACCATGTTTGTGTGTGTGCTGAAGCCCGCCCGCAGTGAGCGGGACGTGCGTTTGAACACGAGGTACCAGTTTAAAAAATCGTAGTTTGGTCCTAAAGCACTACAGACGGCGCAAAAAAGTGGATTATGGTCCCCAAGTGATCAAATGTCGGAATGTGCGAGGCACCCATTGTGAGCGGAGCGTGCCCCGAGGTGGGTGGAGCCCAAGTTTGAAAAGTTCGTAAAACGGTTCCACAGCACTCCGACACCCCGGGAAAAAGTAGTCAAGATCAGCGAGGGGGTCACTCGGCTTGAAGAAGCGCTGATGGTATTATACGTTGTGGGCGGAGCGTGTGGCGAGGTGGGCGGGGTCAAATTGGAAAAAATTCCCAAAACGGTTCCTGAACGCTCCAACACCGTGAAAAGTAGGTCGTCGAGGGTCACCGGTTCACAAGTGGAAGGCATACCGTTGTGGGTGGAGCGTGCGTCGAGGTAGGCGGGGCCAGTCTCAAGAATTCTTCAAGCGGTTCCAGAGCACTCCAGGCCTCCTCTGTGATACGGCCCGGCCTTGCGGGGCGTGGCTCCATCGCGCCTACCTGCATTCGTATGATCAAATGCTCGACTAATACCCGGCTTTTCTCTCATCTGTCCACTTGATCAACGCTCCTTACCACCATTCCATACACCGTAATAGTGTTGAAAATAGCAGGTATGATTGGAATATGAACATGCTATTGGTCAAAGAATGTTGACCATCTGTTCAAATAAAAGAAAAGCCGGATACTAGGTGGGTGTTGAAATGTGTGGAAGAAGATAAGCGCGGCGGAGCCGCGCCCGCTCGGCGAAGCCGTGCTGTATCTCAGAAGGAGGCGCGCCGGCGTCAGCCGGGAAGCCAGCTGGTTTTTATGAATAGCAAAACCAGGGACTGATTGCACGAGGTAATACCATTAGGTGAATCAAGAAACGACTTCTAGAGGTGATGCTTACAAACAATACAATGAAGATTAATCGCAAAAAAAATTGTAAATCAAGGAAAAACAACTGTTTTGTTACCTCTTTCGCAGCTGTGTTCTCACTGAAAAGCTTTGAGACTCCGATTCGCATGTGGTTGAGAAGTTCATGGTCAGGAAGGACATCATTCTGGTTGACCTAAAACTAAGCTCGATTGTGAAGGCAGCAGCAGCAGCAGCAATAAATCGATGTGCCTCAGTACTTGAAATATTGCGAGCAAAGTCGTGAAAGCTCTATAAAAACAGAACTATTTCTTAAGCTTCGTGGATTAGAACGTGGGGAAAGAAGGAAACGAGAGGAAATCAAGTTGCAGAAATCAATGCTATCACTCCTCAAGTAGGCACAAAGACTGATAAAAAGTCAATGACCTAGCACTCACGATATCTGCGATGTTATATTCGCGGATGATGTTATATATGGCATCCTTGAAGTGCTTGATCTTGGGACCACACTCATCCAAATGCGCATTCAGAGCACTAGTCGCTTGACTTGAACTATCTTCTAGTTGCTGGTTCTCTTCCTAGACGTGATAAAACTTTAAGAACTACGAAATCTGATTGACGAATTTGATACATTTTTGAAATCAAAATGAGATTTATTAAATAAAGAATTTACCATCACGATTTCAAGCTCCTTCTTCAATTTCTCATATTCAGCGTTTCGCACCTCAAGTTGGACGGCGATATCTTCGATAGCAGAAATCATCTAAACACATTTTTATGCCTCAGGAAAAGGAAAAATACCAGAGTGAAAAAGTGTGTGAAAAAGTATAAAAAGTGAAGAAAAGGAAGACCTCTTTGGTTTCATTCTGTTTGTCGTCACTTTCCTTCTGAATGCGAACAAGCTCTTCACGCAACGTCTCCTCATTCTCTCGCATCGCTTGAATCGATTCGTCTTGCAACAAGACCTAAGTAGAAAAAAACTTGTTCTCATGGACAGTACAGAACCGGTCAATGATTACTAGCTCTTCACTAATGAACACACTGATTACTCATAAACCTTAAAGGCATGCTATTTCGCAAATGGTGAGTTAGGCTGCTCAGATACTATTGACAAGACGGTAAAATACATAAAAGTGAAAAGAAAAGCAGAAAACTCCGCCCAAAATGGCCCATATAGAACCCCATGCTGTACCTGTGTGCGTTTGTATGGGCATAAGGCGAAAAAAGAAGCATTGGTCGGACGAGTTCTCATTTGCTCTTTCATCTTATCACATCATTCCCACTATTGGAGAGGGCTAGTAGCGGAACAATCGTATCAAGAGGAAACCTTGGAAATGAAAGGTGAGCGTTGCCGTAGGTCAGAAGGCGAGAGTGTGGTTTCGCCGCGAGCGGGTCACGCTTTCCTCACGTATAAGTTTATTAAGCTGCGAAAGTGCTGCATTCTCAGCGCTTACTGGCATAACTACAATCTTCAAAGAAAGCATCACTAAATGAGCGCGGGTGTGCCTTCAAAATCAAGCAGAAACTAATCCATGTCATTCATGTCGAGCCGCTTCGAATATGGATTAATTATTTACCTGAGCCTTCAGTTTCTCATGCTCTTGACTGACTCGCTGAATCTCGTCGTCCTTCTCGTCGAGTTGTTGGTACAGCTTTACTCGCTCCTCCTCGTACCTATAACCAATCAAAAGCGTGAAAAATATGAGCCCGACACATTATACGTTGTAATCCCCAGCCAGGGGGGGGGGTTGTACCTGCTCTGGGGAGATTTTTTTGGTTGTCGACTCTT